GATTCTCTTTCTCACCTTGACACGAGAGTTTCCAATGGGAGATCCACCAATGAAGTCCAAGGCTTCCATGCTTTCCCAGTCTGATTCGGGGACAACGAAGGAGTCTCCAATCAAGACTCCCTTGTACCCGTCCTTGTACATGCGGAGGGTCAATCCTCCAATCTTTCCATCCTTCAAGGCTTGGATCCAATAGTGTGCCAACCGGGAGATACTGCAGGAAAGGCAGGGAGCTAGTCCTCCAGAGGTCATCATGGCGACATTGACGTGCTTGCCAGTAAGTTGGTTTTCGTTCATTGCTGTCATTTTGTATTGGTGTTGTTTGCTTTTGTGTCGTATTTGTAGACTTTGTAAATTTGTGGATTATTGATTGATGTTTGGTTTCTTCTTCTCCCGTCGAGATCTTGAGGGGCGGAGATGCGAACCGCAGACAAATACGTAGAATTTACGGAGCATTGGTAGATTTACACCTCTCCGCCTGCCTGCCGACAGGTTGTTCCGCAAGGTTCCACACATCAAAATTATGAGAACTCTAATGTCGAACGACATCTGGAACATAAGGATTGACTGACTAACGTAGTACCTGAAATTGACCTTTGGAAACTCGAAGAGTGGAGAAGAAGTTTTTTTCTATTTTATATTATAAAATCACGAAAGTTTAGTAACGTGATACGCACCATCCCTGTCAGCATAAAATCGTCCAGAGTGTCCGAGCTACATACAATCTATAGATGCAAGTTTTTTTCTATTTCACTCATTATTTAGTAGAGTCCTTACAGCTCATCTCCGGTCTCAGCAGCATAACCATCCTCCTTGGTGGTTTCTTCTTCCTTCTTTTCTTCTTCGTCCTTCTTTTCTTCTTCTTCCTTCACTTCCTCTTGGGTAGAGGAAGCTTCGGCATCCTTGTCCTCGCCATCCTTTTCCTCGGCATTCTCAGCCTTGGTTTCGTTGCTGCCTTCTGTGGCAGTCTCATTCTTTTCCTCCTTGACTGGTTTTGGCTTGGGCTTCTTCATTAGCTTGGAAATTAATCGCTCCAAAGACTTGGTCTGAACAGGAACTTCAGCACTGGTAAAAGCAGGATCTTCATGAGACGCAAGCTTTTCTTGTTCGGCTTCCTTTTCGCTCAACCAAGTACGAACAGCAGTCACCTTGTCGGTGACATCGGCCTTTTCTTCATCCGTTATTTGGGGCATGGAGTCCTTCCACTTCATCATCAACTCTTCAACCTTCTCCAACTTCTTGGTCATCTCCTTGACGGCAGCGGGGCGGTCACTCATTTCCGCGACTCGGAACCAGACCTTCTCAGCAGGTTCGGAGAGTTCGGCAAACTTGGCTTCCATGGTCTTCAAGTCAGCATTGTAACCATCATCGTACAGCCAGTCTTCTCCATCGGCAGACAATTTACGCAACTCTTCACGTTGTTCTTCAGTGGAGACCTTGGCAATGTTTTCCTCGTCATCAATCAACTTGTTCTTGATTTTGTAGATGTAAGATTCGACGCGATTCTTGGCTTCTTCCAATTCGATACGCTCCTTATCCTTTTGATTCAAGTAGTCCAACTTGGCCTTGGATTCGGCCATCAGCTCTTCGGTCAGGGGGCGGATCTTACCAACATAGTAGGATTCCACGTCCAAAGTCTTCTTGATTGTGCGCTTCTTTTCCTTTGGTGTCCAAAACGCAGGTTTTTTCGATCGTATACCAAAGATCTAGGCAATTAGAGACAGAAGCAATTTGAACAATCCACAATTTCAACATGGATCATAGAACGTACCTTCTCCACAAGCTTCGTTTTCTTCTTCTTGGGCTCTTCTTCCTCGGTCTTGGTTTCATTGCTCTTATCTTCGTCTGTCGTTTCTTCCTCCTTCGCTTCGGCTTCGGCTTCTTCCTTCTTGTCGTCACCTTCTTCTTCGTCTTCAACCTCTACTTCCTCTTCGACAGTGTAGGTTTCAACGACAGCGGCTTCTGCCTTGACCAACTCAGTGATTCCACTGTGGGTGAGTTCGAATTGCAAAGTGACCTTTGGCTTTCCGAGTCCCTTCTCTTCCATTTCCTTGGCGAATGCGGCAACTCCAGTTACCTTGTAGCGTTGCAATTCGGAGCTGGAACCTTCCGGCAAAGTATCGGCGTCAGCATAGTCAAGAGCGCAGTGAAGATCTTGATCGTGAGTGAAAGCAATGGACTTCTTGACTCCAGTCTTTCCATTGGTGGCAAAGATGGTAGCTTCCTTGCTCCATACTTCTTCGCCCTCCTTGGGCTCCTTAGCCTCAAGTTCTGCCAAAGAAACGGCAATGGGGAATGGGTTGATATCAGTCAAACCGACATGACGCACACGGAAGGCAGTGGAGATGTTGGCTCCAAAGAAAGAAGCTCCAAGAGCCATACTCTCATCAGAGTTGATGTGCATGCCAAGTTCCTTGTCATCCAAGGCGGCAGAAAGTCCAGCTCGGACCTTTGGCACACGCATTCCTCCTCCGATCATTTCAATGGCAGTGATGTCCTTCAATTCCAAACCGGCACTCTTGATGGCCGCGTGAACTGGGGCCACGGCACGATCCATCAAATCTTCACAAAGTTCTTCAAACTTGGCCCGTGTAATGTGCAAACTCAGAGACATGTCATCGTGCAAGGAATCCATGTGGACAGGAATCTCCGCATTGGCCGAAAGCACGTGCTTGACCTTGTTTGCTTGGATGCGAAGCTTGGTCATGGCGCGTGGGATGGTGCGGACATCCTTGTCATGTCCACGGGCCTTGTTCCATTCGGCATTGAAGTGATCCGCCAGGTATTCGACCAATCGGTTGTCAAACGCCAAACCACCAAGAGTGGAATCCCAGGCCTTACCCAATACTTCAATCGATCCAACAGTCTTTGTCTTTTTGGAGAGCTTTCCTTCCTTCATCTCATAAGAGTGGAACTTGATGACACTGACTTGCAAAGAACTGGCTCCCAAGTTGTAGAAAAGGATAATTTGTGGTTCTTCGTACACCTTATCCATACCAAAGTTCAAAGCCGAAGCGGTGTTTTCATCAATGAGACTCAAAACATTGAAGTTACCCAACTTTGCAGCATCCATCAATGCTCTTCGCTCCGCTTGGGTGGCAAATGATGGGACTGTCAAGACACAGTCGCGAATTTCGCCAAGGATGTGTCCCTTCTCCTTTCCATATGCTACAGTGATTTCTTCTGCATGGTTCAAAAGCATGGCAGTCAATTCCTCAGGCGTGTACTCGTCCTTTCCATCGACAACAAAGTATGACCCAAATCTGGTGGCATTGTATTTGGGAGTCAAAGGGTAATGACGCTCCGTAAGGACCTGTGAAAGTTACAATGAAAGATAATTTGTCAGAAAGAGTTGAGAAATTCGATCAGTTTATAATCAAAGTAGACGTACTTTGACAGTAGGGTGCTCGTCATCACGTCCTAGAACTACCGTCATGGCGACAGGAGTCTTGGTAGGTTTTCTGGCCAACAAACCATTGGCATCAGCTCCATAAAATCGAGTACCTTGGTCAAAGAGAACCATTTGCTCCGTCTTTCTTTTGGAGTGAAGATTTGTGACAATTTCTAGGGGGGCTCCTCTTTGCACCAAAGCAACTTTCATATACAGAGACCCCAAATCAACACCCAGGATGGCCTTGGCGTTTACTTGTGCAAACAAACCGCCCACGATGCACAGCATTGCGCTAGCGGCGAATAGTGAAATCCTCATTTTTGTTCACTTCTATACTGCAATGTATCCTATCAAATAACCACAAGCAGTGTAGAATTCTTTCCAAGGTTGTTTTATGGCAGTAACGACCTTTGTTTTGGATGGAGGTTGTTATGTCGTCGATCGAACTTTCGATGTTTTTCTCACAAAAATGATGTGGGGCGCACACGTACGCCTATTTTCTTGGTAGGACATTCTACTGGAGGAAGGCTTGGATAGTCTCAAACCTGCAGATGGTTCCACGTGTCACCTATTTCAATGCAACTTCCGCGTTTCAATTTTTTAAAATAAACAAAACAAAAGTTGCCACAGTTGCATATATGTATAGAATACACAAAGTGCACTTTGATGCACAACAGTGTTGGTTACGTTGCCTAAGGTACCATTCCCATAGTATCGTACAGAATTTGTAGAGGTTGGTGTTGCCGAAAGAAAAAAATAAGGGCGAAAGTATCGCTGGTGGACTAGTCCGACTGCAACGAATTCTAGAGAAACGTCACAAAACATTAGCAACAAAGCAAAACGGAAAAGTCCAACCATGATGTTTACCTCTTCCTCAAACTTGGTTTCCCTGCTGCTTTGTATACTTTCGTTCTCCCGATTATTTCTGGGAGCCTATGCACTGAATCCTGAGCAAATACCGGCTTCGAGACGCAATTTTCTGCGAACTATTGCCGCCACCACGGCCACAGCGGCATCGATTTCATCGGCGGCTTTGCTTTTGCCCACGGACAGTGCTCAAGCGGCTCCTCCCATTGCCGTGATTGCGGAAGAATTGGGTTACTTTCCAGTTCAAAATCGTAATGGAGATCTTGTGTATGTCCCCAAAAAGGTGCAGCGACAATCGACCGACCAAGCCATTGAACTGGCCAAGATGTTGACGGAGAAAGGAATGGTCTTTTACGGAGCTTTTTGGTGTCCCCATTGTTCTCGACAAAAGGAAATCTTTGGAGCACAAGCATTTAGCCTTTTGAACTATCAGGAATGTGCTCCCAAGGGATATGGTTTCAAGGGAGTGTGCAAAGATATAGATGGATACCCATCCTTTCGCAGCAAAGGCGGGATGCTGCGCAAAACGATTGATTTCAGTGGGGAAAGACCTCTGTCCTACTTTGCCGAGCAAGTTGGCTTTGCATCATTCGATCCTTCATTAGAAGGAGAGGTGCCGATGGTTGGTACTGCTTGCAAATTGCCGCAAAGACAGTGAGCCTGAAGAACAGTTGGATGATACAGGTGATGGTTTCAGCTGCCATGTCGCTAAGAATGAATCTGTAATAGATCCGTGTTCTCATGGCTCTGTCAAGCTGTTATTAATAATGAAACCAATACATACACACATAGACTACAAACAAGATTGAAAATGGCAATGATAAAAATAGTATGGCAGACTAATTTGCCTCATCGAGATAATCTTGGATTTGTTCTGGAGTCAATACATTGAACTTTCCATTGCGCACGACACCAACTTCGATATTGTCACAGTTCATTTCACCCTCGAATCCTTCTCTCAAAGTCAAAAGGGCAGTATGGATCGCATCTTCCAATTCCATATCCTCGGTAAATCGCTTCTCCAAAAAGTTCTTGGCATTGACATAATTCTTTCCAATGGCAGTGGCCTTCCATTGAAAAAAGGTACCAGAAGGATCTACTTGATACAATCGTGGAGTCCCATCTCCATCTACACCACCGACCAGGAGTGAAATTCCAAACGGTCTGACGCCACCTCTTTGGGTATACTCTTGCATGACTCCAGCAGTCTGTTTGACTAGTTGTGACACGGGTTGCACTTCTCCATATGTAGTCAAATACACTTGCGATGATTTTCGGGCTCTTTGGACTGTAATATATAGTGAATTGGGAGAGTTTCAGGCGCAAAGTTAGCAAAAGATTGGACGACGCAGCAGCAATCAAATGAAATGATATGAAATCCATTCCAATTCGAGTGTATCTTTTCACATACCTAACACCCGATAATCCGGTCCAACCCCAGAATAGCACACACCACAGGAGGGTGTCAATAGCTCTACCTTGTGGACGTGAGCGACGTCCACCAGTTCACTGGTCAATTTCTTGTCGGTGGCAATCACCACGCCATCCTTGGCGCAAATGCCAAGAGACGTTCGTCCATTGGCGACAGCGTTAAGGGCGTATTCGATTTGAAGAAGTTTTCCGGTTCGGGAAAATGTAGTGAGCGAAAAGCTATACGCTGAGTCTCCCATGGTGGTATTCTTTGTTGTATGTTACTACTGCTAGTTGAATGCCTTGATGAAATCAAGGAGGTTGTGGATTTTCGTTGTTGTGGTTGATGAAGATGGCAATTTGATTGCTCCGACCCGTTTTTTGGAAACGAGATGAAGCAAGCTGAAAGCAGACGCATTCTCAACTCAAGATCGGGAACTGTTTTGAAACGAAACAGACAAGCATACAAAATTTAGTCGAGTCAGTCAGTCGAGTCGCGCCTGAAATTCAAGCAATCGGACCAGTCGACTGTCACAACAAAATGAACACATACACACCATCAGCCCCCCACCAACAACAACCACAAAAGTGAGTCACAACATCATTACCCAACAGAAGGGACTAGTCTGAAATATCCACAGTAGCATTATCGATATCTAAAGAGTTGGTGAAGCCAACTTCATCCTGAAAGTCCAAAATGTTCTTTCCAAAATCAGGAAATCGCCGCCGCAGTCCGTATCGCTCAGCTCGGTCCGTTCGACCACAAAAGGAGGTTCCGACGCACATGGTGACGAATTGGACACGGAACAAAGTGTGTGTTCTTCTCGCAGGGGTTTTTATTTTCGGAACAACCTTCCTCGTGCCCATCATGATGCTGGAAAAGTCCATGAGTCAAGAAGCAACAATTCCTATGAACTCTAAGAATCACATTTCGCTGAATCACTTGTTTGACAAAACCAAAAAGATGGAAAAGATAATTGAAACAAAGTCGTATTCCGTCCTTAAAAAAGCCAAACAAGCACTTCGCAAGGGAGGGCATTTTGGAATCCCGGAAGATGAAGTGAACAATCGGGATCCGTTTGAACTGCACGACAATGAAGATCATGAAGCCCATCCGGAAGAGATTGAAGAATCTTTGGCCCGAGGAGTTGTTGGGCTACCAATGTCCAAGACACCTGCCTTGATTGGAGCGAGGCCAGGTCACATTGCTTGTGAGGTGAATGTAGATGACATGGCCTATTGGAATGATCCACAAGGAACGAGGGACCAGGAGTTTCAGAGTCCCTTTGCATCGTCCGAGCCAGAGTCGCACTACATTACCTTTGAACCAGATCCAGGGGGTTGGAACAATATCCGAATGTCGACTGAAGTTTTCTTTGTCATGGCGGCAGCCACGGGACGGACGCTTGTCTTGCCTCCCAAGGCGCCAATGTATTTGTTGGGAACTGGAGCGGCACATGCTCGAAGCTTTGGAAACTTTTATCCGCTTTCCAATCCGCATTTGAAAAAGCGAGTCAATGTCATTACCATGAAGGAATTTGTGGAAAAGGAGGGAAAGAGTATAATGAACCTTTCCGATGAAGAACTCGAGCAGCTCTTGCCAATAGCTGAAATGTGTCTGCATCAAAAGAATTCGCCGATAATCTGTGAAAATCTCTACAAAGTATTGCGGGAAGTTGGAATGCAACCTGATATGCACGGGGCCCACAGTTGTTATATCTTTGATAAGGACAAGTTTGAAGGAAAGGAAATTTCGGATGATGTTCAGAAACGAGTCGATCGATTCTGTGGAGAGAAAAGAACGGCAACCTTCTACGATCAAAGCCTTCACACACCGAAACTCATTCATTGGAATGCCGACGCTCCCACGCACCGAGTGCTGAATCACTTTTACACCTTCTTCTACTTCACGGACCCCAAGATTGACAACTATTTCAAACGATTTGTCCGCGACTTTATGCACTACACGGACGAGATTTATTGTGCTGCTGGTAAGATTGTTCATGCACTCAACGATGAAGGCAAGGGCTGGTCGTCACTTCATGTACGACGTGGTGATCTACAATACAAAGAAGTCAAGATCTCAGCTGAAGAATGGTACAACAACACCAAAGAGATTTGGAATGACGGCGAAATTCTCTTCATTGCAACTGATGAACGCAACAAGACCTTCTTTGATCCGATCAAGGAACATCATGAGGTGAGATTCTTGGATGACTATTGGGACTCGGCTAATCTAGGTGAAATGGATTCGTACTTTCTGGGAATGGTGGATACAATTGTGGCGAGTCATGGACGAGCCTTTGCCGGGACCTGGTTTTCCACCTTTACCGGTTATATTAACCGAATGCGTGGTTACTTGGGGCACTCAACCAAAACAATGTGGTACAGTTGGCTACCGCGAAAGTACGCGGTCCGGGAGTGGACGTATCCTGAGGGAAATTACCCAGCTCGAGAGTGGCCAATTGGATGGGTTGCTATTGATGGCGACGAAGTGATTGAGCATGAGAATGAAAAGGCCGATTCCATTCCTGATCCCCCGGATCCAAATGAAATCACCATCGAAGCGATAGAGAAAGTCCCTGCAAGCGTAGCGGTATGTGTATATTGTTCTTCACTCACCTTACCTTACCTTTGCGATCCAATCTCAACATGTTCTTCCTACTTTTGCCGAACAGATAAAAAATATTGCCATGTCCGACTTGAAAAGCGACGAGGGTTTCGCCGATAAACCAGTAGCCCGAGGCGTTGCTGGGAGACCCATGTCCGAAACTCCTGCGCTAAAAGGTGCCAAACGAGGCAAGATCGCGTGCGACGTCAATGTAGATTCTGTTGCTTATTGGAACGATCCGACAGGAGAGAAGGACCAAAACTTTGAGTCACCATTCCGTGCCAAGGTAAATGTTGGCGTGTCGTTTTGATGCGCATAATGCTTGTACTATTGAGCTCAAATCAATTGTTTGTTTTGCTTCACCAATAGGGTGAAGAGAAGTTCTTGACATTCACTCTTGATAGAGGAGGCTGGAACAATGTCAGGTGAGTCCTTGCGAATGATAGAGGCGATTGGTTTGTTTGCGTTGCACCTTGTCTCATATTGCGTCATAAATGTATAGAATGTCGATGGAAATCATCTTTATCATTGCTGCGGCCACGGGAAGAACGCTTGTTCTCCCACCTAAGGAACCTTTGTATCGATTGCGGGTAAGATCTTACGGTTGGATTGAAATCTTATCATACGCCAACAATAGTTTCTCACTCTCTTTTCCGTTCCTTCGTTGCTTCAGGCCGACGCCAAGAATGTTCACCGTGGTTTTGCCGATTTTTTCGATCTGAGTACTCCTGAATTTGCCAAGCGACTCAACACCATTTCGATGGAAGATTTCATCAAGATGGAAGGAGGAGAGCATGGACGCCTCCCAATTCCAGAAGAAACGAGACAAAACGTCACCAATAGTGCTCATCATTGCGACAAACGCAAGATGAGCACAGCCTACTGTGGATACATTGACGACTATCTGGCAACTGCTGGATATGTCCCTGATATGTCTGCCAAGAAAAGTTGCGCCGTGTTTGATGTCGACAAGTTCAATGGCAAAGAGCTCTCGTCCGCAAGTGAGGAATCCGTTGCGAAATTCTGTGGGGTAAGATCATATCATTCGTCATCAATATACTATCTATTGCTCTTGGCATCTGACTGCATCAACCTACTAACTGACTGACTGTTTGCATGGTTTTTTGCTTCTTTTAATCTTCATCATTTTATACTCACTCACAAACAAACAATGAAAGGATCGAGAACGATACTATTTCACGGAAGAACTCCAAGAAAATACATTGATCCACATCAACGCGGGCCAAAAAGAACTTCGGCTGTTGACTCATTTCTATGACTTTGTTCACTTTACGGACCCAGCCATTGACAATTACTACAAGCGCTTCATTCGTGACTTTTTGCATTACAATGACCAAATTTATTGTGCTGCTGGCAAGATTGTCAAGGCCTTGCAAAAAGAAGCCACGGATCGAGGTTTTAGTGTTGATGAAGAAGGTGCTGGTGGCTTTTCCGCCATGCACATTCGCCGAGGTGAATTGCAATACCAAAAGGTCAAGATTCCTGCCATTGAATGGTACGAAAACACCAAGGACTTGTGGGAGCCCAACGAAATCATGTACATTGCCACGGACGAGCGCAACGCAACATGGTTTGATGACATGGCGGAACATTTGGAGCTTCGTTTTTTGGACGATTACTTTGAGTTTGCGCAATTGGGAGAGATGGATCCCAATTACTTTGGTATGATTGATACCATTATAGCGAGTCGGGGTCGTGCCTTTGTGGGAACCTTCTTTTCCACCTTTTCGGGTTATATTAATCGATTGCGAGGCTATCATGGCATGTCCATGATGGATTCCTGGCACTCTTGGTTACCACGAAAGACCAAGATGCACGAGTGGGAAGATGTGGATCACTTTGTCTTTTCGTATGAATGGCCCACTGGATGGGTGGGAATTGATGGTGATGTGGTACCTAGTAAGGATGTCTTTTAGTAGCTAGATTTGCATGCATCACACCATTCATATTTTATAATCTATTATAGATATTATAATACATTCGCTATCATACATGTTATGCTCTAATAGAATATGATTAGTACATAAAATCAATCTGTTAGAATAAAATAATAATAGTAGTAGTAAAAATAATAATGGTTCAAAATATGGGCCAGCCTGTACTGTAGTTTCGTCTCGAAGTTTTGTTATTTATTTCAGTTCTTCCTCCTCAAATTCATCATCATCATCATCATCATCATCGTCAGCATCCATATGGTCGTTCTTCTTTCCCCCTTCAATCTTCAAGTCTTGCATTTCGATATCTATTTTTGGTTGATCCTCGCCATCTTGCATATCCGACTCAAAGTCATCGTCACCAAAGTCGTCCATATAAGTCGCAGTGGATATAAAGGATTCTTCAAAGGCAGTCCCATCATCCTCAAAGCCTCCTTCCTCGACGTGTTTATGATGAAACATCATGGAATCCATCGTGTGAATGGAAGCCCCGTCCAAATCAGAGGTTGCGACGGAATAATCATCGGCAGCATTCGCTCGTTGCAAGTTCCTCTGCCGGAGTTCCGCGGGGATTCCGGATATTTGATTCTTTCGTACCTGAATGGAATCGTTGGTTTGACCAGACGAGACCGAAGTATCTTGAGACTCTGGAATGGCATTCTGTTGTCTTCTGAATTTCCGAAGCTCCCCGCTTCTTGCTCGATCTGGAACCGAGCGGTGAAAGGAGTTTGTTTTCAGGGGTAGCGCTCGGTTCTTGCTATTGGAACTACTGGTGGTGCGGCTAACTCCCCGCCTTGGACCACTCTTGTTTCGTGTGACGCCTCTCATGGGGCCACTGCGATTGCGGTTGACGCCTCGAATGGGCAAACTTCGAGATTGCATGGGCCCGCTGCGGTTTCGAGTGACTCCTCGTTCGGGAGCTGCTCCACCGCCGCCACCAGCACTGGGACCGCGGCGAATTGGGCGACGCGGAGCACCCGTGGTGGCTGCATTGGAAGTGCCAGTAGAAAGGGGTTGTACTGATACCTCCATTTTGCCTTGAGCAGCTTCCTCATTATTGGGGCCTGACATTGCAATTGGATATTACTGCAGGTTTCAGATCCCTTCAACGTTTTATATTTATATAATATATGCACAATCCAAAAAATTGGGTGATTTCTTCAATGTAGAAAAAGTACCACTCTGTACGAGAATCAATCACTGCTCACGCTGCTTCTATCTTTTGGTTTCTACTTTTACTTTCAGTTACGGTTGTGGTTTTAGTTGGACAGTATAAAATACTTGTTGAGTTATCCTTGATAACAAACAAGATAACGGATGCCCCTTGAAGCAGCCGCTAGTAACAAAAAAAGGGGCACAAGGCAAGCTGCGAAAACCAAAAAGACCGGGTAGCGGCGGTACTGCAAATTCGTGTAGCCATAATTCCGATGTCTCTTTGTCGTTAAATAGTATCACTTAAGGGAACAGAAACAACTTCGGGGGTTCTTTATTTTGGGACGAAAAAAGGGATGGTCTTCGAAATCAGACCACAAAACCAGAAAAACACCAAAACAGTTTTATTGTACCTACTACTCGTACTCGTATACTTTAAACTTGTTGCAGTGATAGGTAGCAACAACATCATGATACTAACGGTATCAGACCACTAACATCTCAACGGAATGTGTCTATATGGAAGATTGGTTTGGTTGCAATGGTAGTGCCAAATACGAAAGGCACTCGCAACCGATGGCAACGTTGCAAGCAGGGAGTCATCATCGGTTTGGTGTTCATTCTCCTCCTGATTATATTGCCTCAACAGGAACGATTGGAACTTCAAGAACTGACAAACGAATTCTTGTCGGCTTCCAAGCCTAGTGTCGTTGATAGTAGTCTGACGATTACAGCCAAGGTGGCGAATAATATTACCATGCAACGACCACAACAGGGTGATGAGAGTATCCAAGATACTACTACCACTACTACTACGACTACGACTACGACGCCAGTGGAGGTGGAAGGATGGCGAAAGACCTTACCCCTTGCCAACTTTACAGCTACCACCGATACTCAATACGAGGTTTGCTTTGTCACATCCGTCTATGCCTCTTTTCTCCAACAAGCCGATCGGCCACCAACAGTGCAAGCGATACAAGACCAGAACCCATCCTTTCGATTTTTTGCCTTTAGTAACTTGCCAAATTTGGAGGCGCCGGGATGGAAGTTGCGTGTCAAAATACTAGATCAATATTATAAGCGTCAAATTACCCAGAGTCGATGGGCCAAGTTCATGGCGTGGGAGGATCCTGAAATCTCATTGGTACGTGGCTGGTTGGTGTTCTTTGCATCTTGATCATGATGGCAATGGATGGATGCCTGTTGACATCTAGTATCTTACGTTCATTATTTATTGTTTGCACTCTTTTCTTCTTGTTACCGCACCACCAGTGCCAAGCAGTGATTTATATGGATGGATTTTGTCGGCCCAAGGCAAAGCATGCCGAGCGATACAAGCGAATGGCCAAGGCCATTGTCGATTCCCCACAAGGTCTCTTTCAAAACAAGCACGAGGTCAACAAGGGACCCATGCACGAATTGAATCGCATTCTGACCAAGAAAAAGGATATACTCCCAAATGTACAAGCCTCCAAAGCCTGGCTGTTGCAACAACCAGATTTTGATGATGCCAAGATTCCCATGTATGTCAACACCTTTATTGGGTACAACCCAAAGAATGAACACTTTCGGCAAGTGGCTCGATTCTTTTGGGATCGGTATTCACTCGAATTGGATTCGTGGAGGGATCAACCATTGTGGTCGTATGCCTTGCACAAGCACAAGATGCATCCGACTCGACTGGGAACCTACAAGATGCTCTTCCAGCAAGTCTTTCGAAACATGGGTCATGCGGGACACCGGTACAACAAAAGGGCAGACTCGAATGCACAGACGACTTTGGACACCAACTAGCTAGTTTCAATTTTGCTACACACAAGCCAAGAGACTAGTATTTTTAGTACACAATCATGATATACAACTTCGAATTTGATTGCCACACGATAGGCAAACTATTGATCTATCGAAGGGGAACTTGAATTCTGTTCAAAATATTCGGGTTCTGCTCTTTTTCTTCCTCGTCAAAGCCCATGCAATCTTCCATCGAGTTCAGCTTAATTTCCTGGTCCAATTGCTTGATTTTCTTGGCTTGGAACTTTACCTGCTTTTCAAGCTTCTTTCTTGTCTCCATGGCATCCTTGAATGTGTGCGTGCGACAAATCTCTTCAATTGCTGCGGCACTCTCCTTGGAGGTCCAGAATGAGGAACCAGAGCACTCGATCCGTTGCATACCACCGAATGACGCCCGATTGTCACACTTCAAGCACATCTCACGCACGACATGGAGATTATCCTCAAGCTGCATTTTTCTTGATGATGAAAGAAAGGCGAGGGTATCCTGCAGAATAGACATTTGACTCTCAAACGTGTCAACCTCAAGGCCATGAGATATTCCTTCACCTGCTTTTGCCCAGGAAGCAGGAACATGGGGATATGCGGCTTCAAATATCAACCGTACCAAACCAGATACACCCCCATGCGTGACACAGGCAGAAAACATAGAGCTAAACATAAATGGCAGCATCATGGATACCATAGCATCAGTCTTTCGAGTTTGAAGCTCCATTGGGTATGGTGATGAAGAATCAGCAACGATTGGAGTGCCAGTGTACTCATCAACAAAGTAAAAGAACGCCTTTCCAGATTTTTGAAAGCATTCCATCATGTTTTGAACATATCTGCCAACAAGTTTGTACAAGATGGTCATCGGTTCAGTACGGAAAGCTTCAACGTTCTCAGCTCCGATCATCACCAGCATGTCCTTGCATTCTTCAAAATTGCTGCCATCAGGCAGTGTCATTAATTCGATCAGTTTGGATGCCGTCCAGTGCTCACCGTTGTTGGTGACTATCACATCTCGCGCAATGGTAGCAAACTGGCATCCCTTGAAAAGAGATAGCAGAAGGACGCCCATTTGCTCTGATCTCTCAACGTCAATCTTCGATTTCGGGGCTAGCCTTGCCTTCTTATTCTTTGTTGATAGCAAGTATGGTAAAAGAATGAAACTGCATGGCATTCTTGGTGCATTCAGTTGCGATTGGACAAGAGCAGAGCATGAAATATGCATCTTTTTCAGCACATCAAAGTCCCAACAAACGACTTGAGTTGTCTTGCTCTGGAGCCAGCCAGCTTCTGACTTTTCATTCGCTACTGTGCGCTTGCGGCGATCGAAGACAGCTTTCTCTTGCTGTCGCTTCTTTACAATTCTTTCGCCACCGGGTGTAGCTTTGTTCAAGAATGGGTGTGCGACTAGATCTTTCATTGTCAAAGCACTTCTTTCTTTATCCGATGAGAGCAACTTGAGAATTAGATCTTGGGCGAGAGGCTCCTTTACATGTTCATAAACAGTGGAGACAGAATTTTGATCGCCCCAACCAATTATTCGCTCAAAGTCAAGCAAATGGCCTGTTCTAAAATTCGAAGGTAACAAAGCACGACCACCGCTACAAAGAGTATACAGAACTAGTCCGAAACACCACATATCGGATGATGTGCTTTGTCGAATCAAGTCATATGGAAGCTCGGGTAATTTGCTGTCCTGATCTTCTTCTGGAACATAGTGGCATCGTAGCACATAGTTGTTGCCATCTTCCGTGGTGTAGGGCTCAATAACACTCTTGTCAACTGAGATGTTGAAGGTCCTTTCGACGCCCGACCAGTAATTTTGATAAATTCTCAATTCTGCTGGCGTCACCTTAACAAACATCTCAGGGGGCATGAGGCCAGTTTTGAAAAGAGGGTTCCCATTCGCTGCAATTCTCCCCATGTAAGGAGCAGAATCGCTTTGTAAACACCCATTCGAGAGGTTGGAGAATCCCCAGGCTTTTCGTCCAGAAGCAGTGGCAATCTTCCTAATCTCGCGGGCGGAGAAGCTCCCAATACTTCCACCCTCCTCATGAATGGAACACAGAGCCTTGGTGATGTCAATAACTAGTTCCGTGACTTCCTCCGCTTTCGTCAGACCATGGTGGCGGACGAAATCGAAGAGATCGTCATGCTTGTCGTATGGGAAGACAAGAGCAAATGAATAGTCAGATAACTTGATACTCTTTCCATCTGCCAGAACAAGAGTTTGGAAACGTTTATCGTGTGTGTCCATCTGATACCGTCTATCCGTGTTGGAATCACCAAGCGCATTATAGATACCGAAAGTAGGTAGAATGTGACCTTCGTTTAAGGTTTCGCTCAGTGCGTTCCGGCACTCCGTTTCATTTTCAAACGCAGCCTGATTTCGAGTAAATTTGAAACAGATGTCAGCTGTGGATTCAACAAACTCGGGTATAACTGGAGTTTCTTCTTCAACCATCTGACCAGTCTCCCAGATAGATGCTTCGGCAATCCCGGGAGCCAACTCCTCTTTCTTGTATTCTGCAGTTGACGAAATGTGCTCCGTCGCTCGAACCCAGATAGTATCGCCGTCACTACTTCGGTGAATCAATATCTCATCTGAAGTTGTGGAGAACTCGAATCGGCCAAGGAAGTGATAGATGCTATGAAAGAATGCCTTACAGAAGGGATTGGCAACGTCGCAAAGAGTTGCTTCTTCTTCAAGTTGGGTGCCGTCATCCAAATATACTCTTGCAAATTCTGGAAGTGTCATCGTAAGCATGCGGTCTGCAAGGTCAAATTCTAGTCCATCAAGAATCGTTTCAACTTGTTTGCAATAGTTGTCATCTGGTTTCATTGGATTTCTGTATAGAACGAAAAAGCACCATAATCTATGAGCAACGTCACTCAAGAAAGAAGAGCCAGTGCCATTGTCGCTGGGAGAGACGCCTTCTTGCTTGTCAAATGCGTCAGCCTCTGAATCTGCACTTGCAGACTTGCTTGGTCCTTCCGATCCAACAGCCTGCGCAGCGGAAGTAAAGGCATCGCTGAAATCCCCAGCCCTTGGAGAGAGGAAGTCATCCTCGTCATCAAGGTCAGATCCCTGTGGACTCAAGACGTATTCCTTATCAATCTCGTCCTCGTCATATATTGAAGTCAACAAGGATGGGTTTTTCTTTGCTTTTGGTTTCTTTTTGGCTTTTCCAGCCTTGCCAAAAGAAAGCGAGGAGCCCATTGTCAATGTCTTTAGGAATATTCCAGCGCTGGGCGTTATATCAACAACAGATTTCGAAACTTTAGTCGACTTTGGTTTATTAGCTTTGGGCGCCATGACTGAAGACAGGTTATCGGTGAGATCGATCAATGATTTAGCGCTTTGCTGTCGTTTCTTCATTTCTTGCAAATGGTAGCTGCCCTTTCCAGTAATCTCATCGCGAATCAGCTGGACACAAGATGCAAGAACATCCTTGTCCCGTCGATAGGACTTGAGTTGTGGGTGGAAGGCAAAAAGGAGTTCCTTTTTCACTTTCCATTCGTCACTTTTCTCAGCGTTGTTCTCTCGTAGCTTTTCGTGTAGATCCAAACAGTACAATTCATGGCCCTCGGTCTTTGACCTGACACTTGCTGCTTCGGGGCACCTGTCCAACATTGCATGAAGATCATTGTATCCCAGTAGGTCAAAACCTATTGCGATATGAAGGGGCGTCATTCCATGCGTTTGACAGGCTATTTTCAAAGAATCTGGCTCGAGCAAAGGTTCCATTAGGATTCTCATTTTCTCCAATTGACCTTGCTTCATTTTCTTGTAGTGGTCGATTTCACGTTTACTTCGTAATCCAGGTTGCATGACAAACGAAGTACCTTGAATGAGACTTCTTTCAGGCGCCTCAAACAAATGTTCCTTTGACAACATGCAGTGAATTGGCAAGTCCCCGCTTCGGTCACGCAACAAAGCACCTCGAGGAAACTTTTTCACAAACATTCGAATGGTTTCAACGGATGCATTGTTAAGGACGGCATGATGAATTGGATAAGTGCCCTTCTGATCTTCCATCTTCAAAGCCAATCGACCGTCCATTAGAACTCCAGGATGGGCGGTCTGGTAGGAAGCCATTAACATTTCAAAAGTCTCGCAAGACTGGAGTGGAGCACTGAAAGGTGACGAAAATGCATCCGCCAGCGGGGTTCGAATTTTGTCTTCACTTCGGTGAATGAGGCTAGTAGAATTGAGATGAATCAAAAGCTTGGAAATATGTGGTGCGGTTCCGGCTCGTAGTGCCAAATGGATTGGCATGTATCCCTTCTCGTCTTCAACATGACAGGCATCTTCTTCACCTGTATCCTCGTCTGGAGACCGGGCAAGCAGCTCGACGATTTCTGTAGGTGGGTTGAACGGCTCGGGACCTCCATTGTAAAGGTCAACATGCGTGTCTAGATGACCTTGCGCCATCTTGATCTGAAAAGCTTCTTCTTTCGGCCTGAAAAAGGATGCAAACAAAACATGGAGCGGAGTTCGACCATTGGCATCTATGACTGTCAATGCCTCAATATTGGTATCAATCAAAATTTGAAAGGCTTTCGCTGAAATGTAGGAACCAGTCAATCCAGCAGCGGCTCCTCGTGCATAAAAATGGCTGGCCCAATGAAGAGGAGTCCGACCCATCCAGTCAACCGAACGAGCCACTTTGCTCGTTGCCAATAGTTGAATGTTAGAAGTTGATAGCTTGTGTTCCCACCAAGGAGTGCCATTTTCATCCAGCTTTTCTCCGCTGACATGTTTTGACTTTTCCAAAAGCGATCCAGCTCCAAGGTACCAAGCCAGTGGTGTCCTATGTTTTCGATCCACTCGGGCAACTGATGCAGGGTAAATGGCAATCATTCTCTTTAACACTTCTCTGGAAGCACCTTGCATGACCGCGTAATGCAATGGGAGTGCTCCATGTTCACCATCGGGAATAATGATTGCACTGGGAGGAATCTCCTTGGATTTGCTGGGATTCGGAATTCTTGGCAAATCACCCGCCACGGGTTGTTCTAGCTCCCTCAACATCTTGGAAGGATGATTCTGACACATGAACTCTACAATCCGAACTTGTCGAGTCGGTGCATGATGCCATAATAGCCAATGCAAGGGCGTTCTTCCACAATCGTCCCGCTGCAACAAAGCATCGGGATTGCATTCCACCAAAATCTGAATCACCTGGTTCGTTTCCGCATCCTCCGAATCTCGTGTACACACCCAATGCAAGGGCAATCGATCGTGTTCATCTGCAATCCCCGTGGCTTCTGGGCCCAAGTGACAAAGGGCGGCCACTACGTACGAGGGCGCCGATTGAACCGCCACAATCAACGGCAATTCGTCTTCGTCGAGAATTTGATCTTCTAGGTCGACTGTGGGACAAGAATAGGGCGGAATGGGAGAATCAAAGGGCGGGGTTGGAGCATCCTTGTTGCGAGCCGTATGGCCCTGTAAATAGTGCAAGACTTGGTTCCATTTCGTTTTGCTGCCCGACGAGGAAGCGCTCTCCAAGAGTCGATGGAGATTGCCTCGCTTTTGTGTTTTGTGACCTCCAAACATGATAGCAGACCTGGGAAAGTGCTTCTAGTCTACTCAATGATGAATGAACGATTGGTTGCAACGCTGGAAATCTATGGGTATGGTAAATCGGTTGGAATATTCTCTATGGACGAGACTGACTACCTTTCTTCTTGACTATGGTATTTTTTGTTGCATCAGTTGTCGCACAATTTCCGCGATCGAATTTGAGTTTGAGACGTTTAACGGCCTCGTAGAGTTTCTACGTGTGGTATTGGTACTATCTGAAAATAACGGGCAACGGATCCATTCGACTGGTTGTCTCGAATGATTTTATCGAGAAGAAAACAAACGCAGGAAGTGTCAAGCGTTGCCATCACATTTTGTATTTGTAGCATTATTCAATCATCGTCGTCCTTGGTGGTGTCAAGATATTATTTTCTTGCCCCATCATCGAGCAAAAAAATTGAAACACTCGTTTTACAAAGTTACTGAATCAATTGCCGAAACAACAAACAAGTAAGTGAACTTTATCATGACGAACGATCATGCATTCTTCTCCACAACCGGCCGGTTTTCGCATCAAACACACTTCATCAATGTCGGCCGCAGTCAGCCATCATTTCCAAAATTCCTTTTCACAAAGAGGATACATGTAATATGATCTTTCTAGTGATGCCTTCTACTGTTCCATCAACGAAAATGTCAAGCACCATTTCACTTGGAACAAGAAGGTATCCTGAACTTTCATGCCTTCATGGACAGGACAAAACATGACATTTTGAACATGGCGTTGGTCGCGCAAGGTTAAGTCACGTGTGTCTGGATGCCGTCCGCGTTTGCAGCAGATTGGCGATTATCCGTTGAATCTGTGAGTGCACCCGGAGCGCACTTTGAAAATATTTTCACTACCGCGCAATACTGTATAATACGTGTACGTACAGCAGCTGGAAAGCTGAAAGCGTGTGCTGGCTGGAAAGTGTGCGCTGGTGAAAACGGAGAGAGATTCAGATTCGATTCACAACGCGAGTGAAAACAGGTCCTGTTGCAATTGATTCAAAGCTGACTCACACACAATTCAGTTTGAATCTTCTCTTTTGCACAGCCTCTCACTCTTATAAAAAAAGACGATCGAACTATCCTACGCCAAGTTTCTGGTCATAGCTGTTCATCCTACCGCATTCAGCAGTTAGTTCTAATAACATATACCACAATGGACCACGAAGAAAGTGGCCGCAAGTGGGTTTCCAAACTCCGCTTGGACACCACCACTACTACAAGAAGAAGCAAACAAACCACGCAACAAACAACGCCCGACGAAATACAAAAGAGAACAGCCAATCTCCCCAATATCATTGAAGTATCTCCTACTTCTCGGGTCTCTGGCCACAGAGCCGTTCAAACGGAACCCCGACCTCGCAACCGAGTTCGATCGAACAGTTCCGGGAGACTACAAGTCCCTCGAGTGAGCCTAAGTCCAGAAGACAACAACAACAACAACAACAA